GAGAAACTGGAGTTGGGGTTCCTGCCTACCTGCGGGGAAGGGCTCCGGCAGCTGAGCAACACCAAGTAACACTTCTTTATTAGTGCAGTATTAAATAATTGGCCAACGCACGGGCTGCCCGTGCGAAGATGCGTTTTTTTGCATGGTTATTCGCAGTTTTCGTTGCTAGCGGCACCTGTTTTCTCGGCAAATGCTTCTAGCTAAACAAATTAAGACTGTCCGCCAGAAATGCCAGGAAACATCCCCTTAAAGTTTCGGCTTTCTAGCTACCCTGGCACCTGACAACTTACTGGAACAAAATTTCCACGGGATCGTGCATGTTTACCAAGCGTACCCGAGAGCTGGGTTCTAGCTGAATGAAACTTAGGTGGACGGGGTATATCCTCTTAAAATTACATTCTTTTAGCTTCTCAGGTACTTGAATTATCAATTTACACGAAAAAAATTTTGGCAGGTTCGTACGCGGGTATCACGCTGAAGCGGGGGCTGGGTTTGAGCCCACTAATACCTGCTTGGACGGGGAACACTACCGTAAGATTTCAGCCTTCTAGCTTCTCACATCCCCGAGTTATGAACTTGCCCGAAAAAAATTTTGGCGGATTCGTACACGAGTACCACGCTTACCCGGGGGCTGGGTTTGAGCCCACTAATACCCGCTTGGACGGGGAACATCCTCTCAAGATTTCAGCGTTCTGGCTTCTCAGATCCTCGAGTTATGAACTGACTCCAAAAAAACTTTGGCGGGCCCGTACGCGGGTTTTGGCGCCCATTTTGGAGATTGGGGCCGGCACGTGCATTTAGATTAAGTTCCCAAAATTTCAGCCCCGCAGCTTTTGCAGGTCCTGAGATGAAAGTGCGTGACAGACGCACACACAGACACACAAACGCACAGACACACAGACAACCTCTCGTCAGTATGCGTTTTTCGCACTGCATTGCTGCAAAAAACGCATAACAAATCAGAAAGAGTAAACGAACCCAGAAATCGCCCGGCAGCAGGTCCAAGCTGCCGACGCAAAACTTCCAGATCGTGCAAAACACAACAATTACAATGACAATTTCATTTCCAATCATCACATTAAATATCACGGAGGGGGAACTCGAGCCAAGAGACGGGGCGTTTACATATTACAGGAAACCGAAGGGCAACCGGACAAAGCGAAGGGGGCTTAGCCTCCAACTTCGCTTCCTTGTTACTCGCTCCTTCCTTTTGCAACACAATAAATCTTTGCCAGATCTTACTGGAACCTCATAAAGACAATTTTTGTGGCTCGTTACAACATACAGATTTGCAGCAACTACCAAATATGCATTCATACAGTAGATAAAACAAACCGCTTAAAAGGAACAGTATCATTTTTTCAACAAAGGCGCATTTTCTGCTGCTGCCATTCGTGGTCGCGAGACGAGAATGGAACTGTAGTCCTGAATTAGCATTGCTAATGCAGGATTACTTTTCCACTGCTTCTCTCACGTATATTCAGCCAAACAAATCAATTTAACTGCGTCTTGAAAACCCTACGACACTAAATCTTTGCCATGCGGGTCGTTACAATATGCATTTCTGCATTTGCATATAAGCGAAAACGTATAGCAGGCAGCAACCCCCCGCCCCTCAGTTAGTCGGAATCAGTCAACCATCCCTCACATTCCTCAAGCAGCAATGCAGTTACTTAACCAACAGCATGCCCCTCCTCCTCCCCCCCTCTCCTGCCCATTAGGATGAGCCAGCAACATCCCCAATTCCCCTCTCCACCCTACTCCCCACAGAAAACGAACAAAAAAGTATCACCTCAGGAAATAATGCAGGAGCAGCCCAGTACGACCAAAACCCCCCAAAAAAACCAACCAGCAGCCCCTCCTCCCACCCTAAAGTTAGTCGGGATCAATCAACCGTCCCTCCCATTACCTCCTTTTCTCAGGCAGCAATGCGGTTATTTAACCAACAGCACGCCCTTCCTCTTCCCCCACAAGATGAGCCCACTTTCCTCTCCCCGCTCCCTTCTCCACAGGAAGAAAGCGTCACTCGGCGGTGCCGAAGCAGCCCATCACCCCCGAGCTGTGAATATGGATGAACTATGAATAAACTGGAAAAAAGCGATGATACAACCGTCCCACTACGCGATGGGTGGTTTTTGTCGCGAGATTCGAGGCTCTAGTCTCGTCCCATACTGAGTGATGTTACACGGAAATCTGGGCATTACTTGAACTGAGTGTGACAGTGTCTTATCAATACAAGTAGTCTGCGGCAAAAGTCCAAGTACTGCACCCGGAAACAGTCGTTACTTGTGTAAGTGGGCGGGCACTGTTGGGAAGTGTGCGATACTTGAGCACTACATGAGTTTACTTGTATCAGTTGCCATCACACGAATTTGTTGACATATGATCTGCAATCTGATTTTTTCGTGAACGTTCAATGGTTACTAGCTGGGCCAACCATCTCAATCCTATGGATTGCACATTGTTGACTTGTGCTGGTAGCTTTTTTCTATAATTTTTCAAAAAATTACAATCGAAACCATTTTCTCGGCGGTGTGACGGTACATGGAGAACCTATATACTTCCACTTTTTGCTTTAGTGTTGAGAATTAGAGTTGTGATAGTAAAGTGGCATCTCGTCATTCG